TGCTACACCATTTTTACAGCTACTTTGTATTTCCTTATCATATTATAATCTTATCACTTTTTGCCTCATACTATTTTTTGCAATTGACTAGTACTTGTTCTCATAGAGAGACCTTGTTTAGTACCGTAACTTTAATACAATCTTCTTACTACAATCCTCCAGTGTTGCAACACTATACATTAGCAACTTATGCCACTATCTTGTATTGCTTCTATATTCTATCACAATTTTACTCTAATATTGTAGTATGTAGTCCAACTCATTTCCATTGTCTAGTACAACAATACCCAAAACCTAGCAACAAAAATAAATTGTAATTTTTTTAATTTTTTTAAAATCTATTGCATTCTAACTTGTTATACCACAAATTGAAGAAAAAGAGATATTTTTGGTAAATAAAAGATTAAAAATCTACACCAACTAAGTCAAGTTATCTTTCATGCCACAAAGAGAGAATTCAAAAGTGTAAGTGTAAAAATAAGAGAAACCTTAAAGTTTTACTAAAATGGCTAAAATACCATAGCCAAGAAAATCTTTATAATAAGTTCTCTCACTCTCAAAATCATTCACAAGACTTAATTTGACAAGAATGTCAAATCAAGGATTTTTTTCCACTTAAGTACTTAAATCTTAATTGACATAAACAAAGTCAACCAACAAAAAACTATCAATGGATGAAAAACTACTAACCAAACTAAACTACATACATTCAAGAAGATTTGGTATCCAATGCTATATCACATGATACTAAACAAGCTCTAAAAATATAGTTTGATCCATCAAAAAAAACTGTTCAAGTGTCTTTTATACTCTCAACGTATTCAACATTTAAAAATGGATTACCAAGATCAAATAAATACTTATATTATGACATAATCTTCATTAACAAAATTTCACCAAAACTATAAAATAGCCTTGACCACATATCATCAAACAACCATCTAATCAACACCAAAAAATGGACCCCAATGACAAAAATTTTCATTAAAAAAAAAATTATTTTAAAGAGAAGAGGGGAGATTGGTAAGCATAAGTTGCCATGACGATATTTTCTCTTCTTCACAAATTTACCAAATGAAGGGCGTCAAATTCTCCGTCTAATTTTAAAAGGATGTCTTTGTGATAACACCTAGGCTACAAGGTGGGTAATTCCCCACATTCTAACTCATCGACTTAGCATCATATAATTAAGTTAATCCAAGGAATTAGAGTAGCAGCTACACGACAAGCCCAACAAGACGACGGTTTTACGGTAGCCTTCCAGAATTTTCTCCTAGCTTTGGGTCGCAATTCGTGTGACGGCCTGGATTCGACCAGGACGCGGTTGGCGCATCCGCAGCCGTCCAATGGCTGTGGGACGAAACCCTACCCCACCTTAGATGCTCCACTTCCGTCGCGCTATCTACGAATAGCAAAATTCGAAGAGTGAAATGGCTATTCGTAGGGGAACGCATAACTGACAGGGTTCGTTCCCAATATCCCGTGTGTGATTCCCTTGGTGATGGTTCATGGGAACAAGAGCGTTCTATTTGGGGTACGAGGTTCCCATTCAGAAACTCCCAGGCTTGGTAACCGGGAAAACATGAGTCACGAGACGGTACACGAGGCGTTTAGTGACTGGGAGTGGTGGGACGTTCTGGAAGTCATTGTTGAGGGGGGTGGTGGGGTTAGAAACTGCTAAATTTATATTAGGTTACTGGATTTACCGTAAGTTGTGTGATTAGTCTGGTTGTTTCAGAAACTATGAAACCAATTGGGTCTGAATCCGAAGGTCATTTACGGCAAATGCTTTGGGTATCTAAAAAGTCCGTGTTTATTACTGGAAGGGGGGTTTGCCTGGAAAAATCCTGATGGATATAAAGTTTTTATTTATTTTTTCTTTCTTTGATTTTATTTTCCTCCACGTCATGTTTTCCCACTGTTGCTAGATCTAATACTTGGCCTCTGGACTTAGAAGATCTTTCGTAGCATCTGTCTTCATGCCAAATTTTTTATTTTTTGAATTCTGTCAAGATCTAATGCTTTTGATGGTTTGAGGTTGTTTACAAATTGCAATTCCACACAAACTCATTCATGTATATATATGTGTATGTATATATATATATATACACATATGTGTGTGTGTGTGTTATTGTCAGCCACATGTACTTCTGTAGCATTAGAAACATATTACAAAAGATTTATGAGAGTTATAAATTGAGTAATTGTATTATTTATGTTGCATTATTGAAGGAGATATCACATGTTAATGATTGGGCTTCATTTACATTTGCAATTTTTCCATGTTTTTAACCTACAATTTTGTGTCCTTTTGCTTCCAACAGTAATACACAAAAATAAAATTAAGTTCGAGCGCTCTTAAACAGCTTGTCATTGAGTAATAACCGCATAGTTAAACTCTCAGTTTTGATTGGGCAAAATTATGTGGAAAAGAAAAGGAGAATGAAGAATTGGATGGATGGTTCTATCGCAGTCAGGCAAGCAAGCAAGCAACGGTCTCGGCATCACCGTCGCCGTTGATGACCCGCGGTGCCGCACCGACTTAGAGCTTTGGCCCTGAGAGGAAGCGACGGATCGAGGTGGCGATGGAGGGAGAGGAAGCTTGGGTCGATGGTGCCGATGGTCGGAAGCAAGAGCCAATGCGAAGTAGGAATGCATTGGGGCCTGATGTTGCTGATGTTGCTGTTGGGCTTGTGGGCCTGGAACTCTCATCCCCAAGGCTTCCACCGGGGAAATAGTAGGAACCGAGACAAAGAAAATCTAGACACTTTTTCTGTGCGGCACAACTTTTTCTTGCTGCGCAGGGTGGCAATGCAACTGAAAGGGAGCCTGGCAATTGGGTGGAGCGTGCCCGGGTAGTCGATCATGGTGCACGCACCACAGGTGACCCCTTGCAGGGATTCGGCTTTTCTCCCGTCGACCAATTTGGACTCCCTGCCACCTCAAAGAGACAGCGTACTGCCGCCTAAATTAATCTCCCCGTTCGCTGATCCCGACGCCCATGGGTTGCAAGCGTCGCGTCTGTTCTGTTGTTTGCGCATGATGGACTTTGTAGACCTGCGGAGAACGATCCAAAAGCACATTCTCTTTTGAAGGGTCTCCCACTCGAGTTCGTTTGTTGGCTTCGACAAGAATTCTCTCACTCGGTAGACGGAGGATAACGCGCCTTGCTTTGCGATGGCAGCGAGCCGTACATTCCAAATCGCATCACCACACCCCGTTGCCTGAGCCTCTGGAAGTGGACTAAACCATCCAACTCATCGCTTGGCTGAATATCGATCTGTGGGAGACGGAAGGAAAAAGCAGAAAGAAAAAGAAACTAAGAACTTTGAGTAAAGTTTGAGCTCGAGGGACAAACTTTACATCATAACGGAAGGGTGGGGGAATGTTCCAATGTTCAATGCTAACCGTTCCTTCGACTGATGTGGATTATTGACTGGGGTCTTCTTTTTCTTCTTCCTCTTCTCCTTCTTCTGAAGGCATTATATCGTAGCGACTGGCACCAAATGTGAATGGTAACGATTTGGAACTGAGTGGATAAAGCAGTGGATTAGCGCCACTGATCAGACATGCTATGATCCGCATAGGCAGAGATTTGTGGAAGGAAAGCCTGAGGTGGCCAAGCACAGGGGAGGTCCCAGAGTAATGCAAATCACACCTATTCAGCCTCGCCAACCAAACTTAGAATAAAAAACAAGTGCTTAATTCAGCAACCAAGGCTATAAAGCGATCCCAGCACACAGCATGAATTCTTGGCGTCGCTAATAGCCTTCTCCTGCAAATTTAGCACGAAACTTTTTTTGGAAACATTGCAAGTGGAGGCAAAGCACTGCGTTACTTATTTCGAAAAGGAGAGAAAAAAAATATAAAAAATATAAAAAAGTTCTTTCAGATTCGTTTCCACGTTATCTGGCGACCTACCTACTTCGGAACCGCGAATGGGAACTGTCGTTCTCCGCAGTATGTCTGCAGTGGCCTCCACCTGACAGCCACTTTCCATTGCCTGCCTCTTGTGGAGCGTGATCGGTCACGAAGTGTTTAACGCTGGAAACCAATCTGCACGGAAATGGTTTGTTCGCTGGGTGGCTAATGAATGAGAGGCATGTTACCCAGCTTCATTTGGAGCAATGGTTTGTTTGTACTCTCTGTTGACCCTCCAGCAAAGATAGGATGGGTGATGTGCAGCCCACAAAGAGAAATTTAGCAGGTTTCATACGAATTGTGTGCCGCGTGACAACGTCCCATGCTCTTCAACTATATTAGTCTCTTACAGACACAGTACTCTGTTTGTACCGCTGTTCCACTTAATATCTACAGGGGCTTGAGCTACATTCATTGTCATCGACATGGTTCACATTGCCGGAGCTGATTCTGGAAGTCTGGTGTAGTTTAATAGGATGCGAGTTGAACTAGGTTTTGGGTCCCATGAGGACCACTTTCCACTCCATTCGGTTCCGTCACTCCGGTTCACAACCAATAATGAAGAAGTTTCTTAAGTATGAATGTATACACATATTGAAACTATTATGTTGAGCAAATTTTGATGAGTCCGTGGGTGCTCAAAACCATATTACGAGGTTGATTAATTTTTGCCATACCAGAACTGCAATCGAGCTATACATGCAATACGTACTAAATTTATGACAATGAGTTCATCGATTGACGAGACATATAAACCCTCATGCGAAGTGTTGGCAGCTAGCCCACCTCATTTGACAGGATATTTCAGGATGAGTCAGTGGTTGATGATGTATTTCGGAAACTTGATCAAAAAGTAGCTTCTACGTAGAAATGGATAATGAATCGCAAAGATCTGGGAAGAGAACTGTGACTCAAGGACGATGTTGATGATGTTATTCGTCGATGGAATGTAACATTCAGGCAGCATCATTCTGATTCATCCATTGATTTCTAAACATATGACAATGAACAGTCGCCCTGAATTGCGACGATGAAAGATTCGTACGTGCTGGACGATAGATATAATAAGATGTAGCCCACCGGAGCCGTTGCAGTAGTTCTTCTAAACCTTTGCATGCAGTGCCGCCAGCAAGAGTGATCGGAATGGCAGCACTGAATCCATTCGTCGTAGAAACCAACCGTGCACTTGAGCATACGTATGCCAGCCCAAAACCCAGACATGTCTCAGTATTACACTGTTGCCGATGATCACAAAGCCTTAATAAGTTCTGAAAACATCTGCATTGGATTCGGTGCAGTTTGGGATTAGAGCGAAGGTCAGCCTCTGAGTTGTTTGTGATTCTTATAGCCAAGGTCCACCCTGTTGCTGAGGTTGACTCATCTAGGCGTTAGTTGTAGAAATCGGCTAAGATCCGATCCACGCTGCCTTTGCGTCAACGTTAGAACTTGTTGCCGTCTCTTCGCAGTTACAGGAGGAATTCGGAGCAGTGGTGGTTGAACGTTGAAAGTTACAGGTGGTGTCACGATGTAGGAGGCGAGTGATCGGTTAACCTGTTTGTGTCAACGTGCGCGAGTCTCCAAGGTTTGTGATTTGAGAATGATTCACTTGATCCACGGAAGGCATTCAAGTCAAGAAACTGACAAGGCTCTGTGCATTCGAGTCCCTTGCTATCTGATACCATATCTTCAGGACATTTTTCTTGGGAATGTGATTGTGATACTATCCCAGGAATGACCTCGTCCTGTATGCTTCTTGACGGAGTTCTTCGTACACTACGGGATCTTCAAGCACATTCTCTGAAGCGCAGCTAGTTCGCCTTTTCATTGAGTTCTGTCATTAGTTCCTTCTTGTCATTGACTGAATTTCGTTGTAGTGAATTAGCGCGTTCAATCTCCAGAAGTTGAGAAATTCCGACGCTGGTCCCTCTACTGCAACCTGCTTTTTGTCCACAATTCCATTCTTGCTTGCATCCGTGAGAGGAATCCTCAGCTTCTGGGATCTTCTTGGGGAGATGTGTAGTGGAGGTCGAATGCCTGTGGTTTTGATCACAATGCAACTTTTCAACGACCTCTACAATTCTGCACAAGTGTGAGAGGGTTGAAGCCTACATGAACCTGAGCGTCTGCTCTGTTGTTTTAGTTTGCAGCTGGCTTTACATGTCCATAGATGTAGGACAGTTGGCCATGTGCCACTGTCTATGAGTATGCTAAAGTTCTACACGATTCAAGACTTAGCCTTCTCATGCTGGTGACCTGGAACTTGGATTCCAATCACTAATGGCTGAGAAAGAGAGATGGTAATCAACGATTTTGGTCTCTACTAGAGATTTGTTCGTTCGAGTTTATTTGCGGCATACTATTTACAATAGACTAGCAATATTATTTTGTAGATCTCCCGGATGTGGAAGAATCAAGCTTTCATGACTGTGTGAAGGTCTCTATTTAGATAGGGGAGTATTTTTACATTTGGGTTACCTGAAGAATATTTGTGAAGATGGCACTCGCAGCCACTCCTGCTCTTTCGACTTTCTATGGCATGGAAGCTACCAACCTTCTCCAAGCTCCGAATTTCTCAGGAAATCCCAGCTACATGCTGAACGATGCTGGACCCTTGTCACTTGGATATGGATTCTCATCGGGAGGTTCGTCATTGTACAACTACGGTGACAATGCGGCGCTTGCAGTATCTTGGGATGCTTACCTTACCAGGGACTGCAGCAACTTTAACCCGCCCAACACGTTGTCGCAGTCACTGTCTTTTAGTGACTCCTCTGTGTACTCAACCGACGAATCGGACCTGTTCATGAGTAACAACTCCGACGAATTGTTTCAACTGATCAATGAATGTAACCTTCTCAGCGCCGGTAGCTCCGTCAGTACAATTCATCCTAATCTGGTGAGCACTTTGAAGAATATGGTGTCGCCCGGGTTGGTGGGGTCTTGCATATCTCAAGGTGATATGACATGTCATAATGCTCAGGCGGCCGTGCTCGATCAGCTAGCATTGACGCAAACATGGATGGAGCAACATCAGCAGGAGCAGTTGCAGCATGACAACATCGACAGCCTGCGCAGTGCATTAATGCGACACAGTCAGCCACAGGTGATGGTTCCGAAAGTTGAGCTTCATGATTTTACTTCGACTGTTGGAGCCATGGTGCCTATGGCTACAATCTCCGACCTCAAGCCTCAAAAGGTTCTTGTCATTTTTCAAGTCTTGGTGTGTTTTAACTTTTTTTGTGTGCATTCTATATGTTCAGTTTCAGCTTTTGTTGATGATATTTATTTATTTTGAATTTCCACTTTATTTGTGCAATGTTGCAACGATTTTAAACTTGTGGATTTGTCCTCCAGGCTGATGAGAAGTCAGAGACTGAAGATAGTATCGAAGCGGCGGTGGTCTCATTAGACCTGATCAAGAACAGACGTCCGTTCAGATGCCAACATGAAGGATGCAACAAAACCTTCAAGAATCCGCAGACCATGAAAATGCATCACAAGACGCATTACAGCGACGGAAGTGCCGCAAGTAAGGCTTGCATGTTACCAACATTGTCGAGTTCCCTGAAAGCTGGTCACAACAAGAAGATCCCCTCGAGGTGTCCCAAGTGCAAGAAGACGTTTGTGGGACTGTACGAGCTCCGCCGCCACTACGGCCGGAAGCATTCAGAGGGTGAGAAGCCATTCGGGTGTCGCAAGTGCGGGAAGAAGTTCTACATAGAGGTATTGAAAAATCTTCTCATCCTTCTCTCAGTAGCTGTTTTTTGCCACGTACATCCTTTACCTAGTCTACAAGCAATTAGAGCTAACGATGCTGATGTTACGAAGGTTGATGTGCGCGATCACGAGAAGTTGTGTGGTGAGCCGATCGAGTGCAAATGTGGCCTCAAGTTCGCCTTTAAATGCAACTTGGTTGCCCACAAAAAGGCTCATCCTGCTTGCCAGGATCACCTGCTGAACAACTCCAACTCGACGACCTCAAATAACCAGTCTTCCTACTCCGACGACTCGGAGCAAAGTCCTTGCAGCTTGCGAAGTTCTCCAAGATCGGGAACGAAGAGGGCACGAGAGCCCGCGAGTCCAATCCAATCTAGTTTGCACGTCCCACTTCCAGACTTCGAAGGGATTCCAGAAGCTCCAGCTTTCAAGATGGCCCGTCATGACCTTGCATGGATGTCGTTTCCGACAGATACGAGCTTGCTTTGCGCTTCCAATGTGAACTATCCACCAATTTCTTTCACGAATCTGCCACTGTCAAGCCGGTATCCAAACCAAGGTGATTCTCAAGAGCACTTTTCCAGTAAAGTGCACCCTATCTCATCAACGTACCCGGAAGCTGTGAACTGTGAGATGGGGATTGTTTCAACCAACTCCCCTTTAAGGCATGGTCCGGCTGATGTAGCCTCATTGCCGTCGGCACCCACAAAGTCAGCCACGCCATGGGCAAATTTTTTCTATAGTTTTTCCCACGAAGCCGTCTCCGTTTAAGGGCCCTCATAGCCTTTGACCATTCCGTTCATAACGTACGGTCAAAGTCTATGAGGATAATATTCTTGTGGTTCACTAACGTCAGATCGAGGATAATAAATCACTCTTTCACGGCGAGTTCGAAGAGGGAAAATACCTCCTCTTCTATATTATTATTCTTTATCATCTCGATTACCGGGTTTAGCATTCTGCACGATAGGTTCTAATTAGTTTCAGGAGAGATCCGCGGATCGAATTTTAAACATTACTCTCCACCTCCAGCTTTGATGAACTCATGGTAGAGTAGATACATTCTTTCACGTGGAATAACCTCCATCTTAACATTGTGCTGCGAACCCTATGTGATTCCTTTGATGGCTTACAACCTGCAATAAGACCATGTACATGTTTCACTTGCTGCTCTGTGCGTATGTTTCATGATGTCGAGTCCCAATGCCATAAGCCATTTAACTCGGTGACGGTGTTGACGGGTAAGTGAGTATTCAAACACACACATGAGAACATATATAGTTTAACCTTGCAAATTTGTATGATAGTTTTTCTTTCCATGTCGAGATGTTTTTTTCAGCTGTTAAATCAGTTACATTATATCACTGGTTGTAATCTTTGGCTGACGATGAAACTCTTAATATGCCCTAGTTTAGCTACGACAGAGAAATATTCTGTTATACTGTTAAAAGAGATTGGAGGTTGTCCATGCAAACTACGGAGGATCTGCGAAGATACAGGCGTGCATGCCAAGTTACGGGGTTGGATAGTGTCAAAACCTATTTTAAAGACTAAAATGGTGACGAGACAGCGTCGAAGGGCATACAAAACAGCGCGTGAGGTACACGGCACGAAAAGAAGAGTTTCGAAATCGGAAGAATTCTCAGAGGAGGTGCTCAAAAAACGGATACTATATGGGCAGAACTCATGGTTACGTAAACGGGAAGCATCGAAAGCCGAAGCGAGCAGTTCCTCAAATGATATGTCTGCCCCACCGGACCACGCTCTGACTGCCGTTAGCAGGAGCCAACATTCTCACAAGAATTCTTCCACTTCAAGAGTCTTTACATGAAAGCTCAGGCATGCCTGGTTGTGGGGGTCCTGAAGGGCCAAATCTTATTAAGAAGCTGCTCAGATCACGTCAAGTGATACCAGAACAAACGCCTGATTCAGTGAAGTCGCTCACAGGAGTCTTGATATCGAAATCAGTAACTGCAATCTAGTGCACCGAAAGGTCCAGCTACCAACTCTGACAGACCCGGTTTCTTCTTCATCTAAGATTTGCCGTTGCCATGGTAATCAAAGATAGAAAATCACGACGCAGTGAGCCAGTCATGCAGGTCCGCCGGCACCCACTGCCGAAGGTGAGCACTCTTCAGTGCCACTTATCCAACATCCGAAGCATCAGACGCAAAAAGATCAGAATTCAGAATGTTTGTGGGTTGATGAGGTTGGGCATATTTACATACTGAAACATTTGGAAAGGGTTTAGAGCTGTCACATGTCATCTCTAGGTTCTGTCTGAAACATGGGTTGAAATTGATTAAATCGTCATGGGCGATACAAAAGTATTTAGCATACTTCCTTTTTAGAGGAATTTGTCAAATTGCCTATTTGGTTTGACATGAACATAGATTTTTGAAAGAATGCAGATAATGGTGACGAAGTTGTCAAGAGTATTGCTGCAATAATAAGGGAAGACATGATTGTGAACAAGTAACACAGTGATGACATGAAAGAGAGGAAATTGTTGAATTAAAATGAAAACTTATTTGATTACAAAGATTTGATGTTTATTCAAAAGTCAGCCATAAATTGTGTTGTGGTAAGACACATGCTCTAGCATAGCTGAACATGGAATGGAAATCATAATTTCTCATTAATGGGTACCAAACTAAGCATAGTATTTACATGTGTTCTAGTAATGAAAATCTAATGCTATTTTGGTGGCAACTTTGTCAATATAATTTGGTATCAATGTAACCTTCTTATAAGTGGTACAAAATAGCTTACTAAAAAAAGTGATTTACAAGATTTGTGCAATCCAATTGATAAAGAGGTGAACTTAGGTGGACTATGGTTATAATATAGTCCTATTCAAATTGAAAATGGTTAATATGTAACTTCTTGCCAACACTCTTTCATAGTGGTCATCTCTACATATTGAATAGCATATTCCTTATTTATGAATATTAGCTACAATTATGTCATTGCATGATATTATTGAAAAATATTTATGTCAAAGTTGGTACATTATAGGCTTTGTTAGAGATTTGCCAATATTGCATCGTATTTTGATTTGACTTTTATCAAAGTATACTTTATAATGAACTATTTAAAAATAGGCTGATTAGTTCATTGTTCATTGATTTTTTCAATGTTTTGGTGCACAAATTTGTATGACCAAAGGTAAATGATTCAAGTGACTTATTCTTATTACTTCAATTAAGGTATGTCAGTAGGAGGTGGAGAATCAAGATTGATGCAATGCTTGATGGTGTATGAAATTTTTTACAAAAACAGACTTTCTTAATTACATTTGTTACACTCTTAAAAATGGATTCAAAGCCACATCCATGTACTTGAGATGTGAGAAAAATTTGGCAATATTAAATATACTTTTGCAAAAAAAACTTATTAGAGATTGTTAGTATGAAGATTCTAAGTGAAGAATCCAATAATTGTGCCTCCAAGTATGGTGAGTAGGATTTTGTGTAAAAATCATGTATAAAGGAGGAATTAGTGTGACTCTATTTTGCTCTTAATTGATGCTTTGTAAATCCATTTTCTTATCTATATGTACAAATTTTGTTTGTTCTATTAGTTTAGTGAAAATATTGGCTTCCTAAAGGTTGGTAGATGTAAAAACCACTTATATGTCTTTCATTGATGCCTTCTTTCTAATAAAATGATGTTGCAACTCAATGTGTTTGATGTACAAGTGCAGCATTGGATTTCTAATAAGTTTTACAGCTACCATATTATTACAGTATAGAGTGGTTGATTCTTATGGATGTGGGCCCATATTATGTAATAACTCTCCTTTCCATGTAATTTCTTTTGTGGTATCTATTACTAAACAATATTCAACTTTTATAGTTGATATTGTTATGGTAGATTAGCACTTACTTTGCCAAGAGATTGGTATTTTATCTAACTTCAATAGTATGTCCAATATAGATCTTTTGTAGTCTAAATTGTATCTTCAATTAAAATTAGTAAATATTCATAATTTGAAGTTATTTATTTTTAAGAACAAAATTTTAAGATGATTAGTGTTCCTAAGATAAATACATTATCATTTTTGTTGCTTCTATATAGGTGATAAGTAAAGAGGCTATATATCTATTCTATATTGAAATTGAATATGTAATGTTGAAACATGTGTATGTGAAAAAGATCAAACTCCCCAGCAAACTTTGATAGGTGTGTTTGTTAATTGTAAGAGAATCCAATTGTGCATGTAATTTTATATTTTTATTTATAGATGTGCTTGTTAGATTACAAGCTTACATTCCATACTTACTCATAGCTATTTATTGTAGTTTTCTTGTAATAAGAAAATACCACTATTGTGATAATGAAATTATAGACTGGTATAAAAGAAGACGTTGTCAAATGTAAACATTTGATACTTGAATTAGAGCAGTTTTGACGCTTTTGAGTTCTTCTCCACATTATCGGTGATCATTATATCATGGACATATAATATCAAAATAACATACCAATTGTCTTCAATGGTTTTGATGTATAGATTGTAATTGTTGTTACTTTGATAAAGTTTGATGCGTTGCAAGAAGCTATCTATGTCAAAGTACTATATTCTCGTTGATTATTTCAGACTATAGATTACTTTGTGTAATTTGCATATTAACTCTTCTTGCCTAGATTCAACAAAGTCTTATGGCTATGTCATGTACATTTCTTTGGTGATTGTCTTGTTGAGGAATGTGGCTTTGACATTCAAATGCTTTATTGTCCAATCTTTTCTTGTTGCAAATGTTGTAACTAATTGGATAGTGATTCACTTCATTGTTAATGAAAAGATCTTATTAAAGTCAATTTTGGACTTCTATTAGCAATCTCATGCCATTAGGAGTGCCTTGATTTTTTCAATCTTTTAGTCTATTAAAACCTTGATCTTGAATATCCATTTTGTTGTTATAAGTTTTTTTATTTCAATTTTTTTTAATATCAATGTTTAATTAGAGATGAAAAATTTATATTCTTCTTTCATTATTCATTGCCAACATTGATACTGGTTTGTAGTTTCAAAATCTTTCAATTCTAGAGTTGTAGATAGAATCAAAACATAATGTTTAAATTTGATTGATAGTTTACTAGCCCTCACTAAAATTTTAGTTGGTACTAGTTTTAATGTTTGTTGATCATAGCTATGCAAAGTAGTAGATGGTAATTCTTCTTCCACTTCTGCAACCTTCTAAGTAGTTGGTCTTTGTAGGAGAAGCAATATTAACTCTATTCTAGTATGCAAATTTTTGGGAAGATCGAGCTCATTACATCTTGATTTATTATAGTTATTTTTCAATTCTAAAAGAATGAAGGTGTGATCTTTTAATAGTAGTATAGAAGACAAGAAATTTGTGAGGACTATCTTAAACTCTTTAAAGCAAATGTCTTTAATAATGAAGATTTTGTATCTTGCAACATCATAAAGTTGATAAGATTTTAAGGCTATGTTGTAATTCACCATCATACATGGAATTGTACATAGTTCAATCTTCATCCTATTGTCTTTTTGTATAAAAAAAATAAATTGTACAACCAAAAAACTTAAGGTGTTTAAGGTCAGTTGTATTATTCGTTTATTTTTGGAATAATAAAAGGAATTTATTGAACTTTGTTGGATTGATATTAATGAAATATATTGTAGTACTCATTGCTTCTAGCCACAATATAAGTGGGAGGTTTATATTAATCGCGATGGTTTTGGTTCTATCAAATATTATGTGGTTCATATACTCTACTATTTCATTGTGATAGAAAGTGAAGGATGCAATAAATTATTGTGTGATCTCGTGTTGCTTCTAAAAGACTATGAAATCACATGATGTAAACTCTTTATCCATGTCCATTTGGAGAACCTTTATTCTTTTTTGATATTCATCTTCTATATGAACTTGGAAGTGTTTAAACTTCTCAAAGGCCATGCTTTTGGTTTTATAAAAAGAGATCCATGTCATTTGGCTAAAATTTTCAATGAAGGTGAAAAAATACTTGGATCTTTTTTTTGAAATTTATAAAAAATAATCACCCAGATTTATATGAATAAATTTATTTATATTTGTTAATCTCATATAGTTTTTTTGGTGTTGCCAACTTATGTATTTTATCTTGGATTCATTCATTATAGAAGGGCCTTATTGTGAGTATATACGACATACTTCT